GGCGCGATGCAACGCAACGCGTAAAAAGACAGTATAAGTCATTATAATCCATAATTATGTCCCCACTGGATACAACGAATGCCTCGTTTATAATGGGTTTTCATGTTTTTGAATCATCGCTCCGGCCTGACAGGGCATCATCACAATATGGCAAGGGGTGTAACATTTCCGTCACACGCTTGAGGTATTTGGCCAATCATAACGCACTGGATAGCTGGCCAATCACAGCACACCTTGCTTTTCAGACTGATGAGCTTTATAAAAATTGATGAGTTTCAGAAAGGCGGGGCATAGAGGAGAAACAATAATGTACAGTATGTGGAAAATAATGTGTTTTTTGAACCTTAAACCGCATAAACACATTTCATTACACCAAATACACAAAATGTTCTTTTTAGCAACATCATATGACCCCTTTAATCATTAATCAGAAAGTTTCTTCTTCAAAGTTCCATTGTCACACAATAATCTGTTCTATCCTCTCAAATCATTTATGAACAACAACCTTCAGGTCAGCTAAATGAAATATTTAGACAAATGTTCAGTAAAATCTGCTTTTATACAATAGGTGTATAATTCTAATAAACACCAGGTTCATGGAAAAGCTTTAGTTTGATTAGCACCTGATGACATCATTTAACTTCAACATTGCAACTGCTTATCGATCAAGCCTCTTCTTTCCTTTGTCAATATACGTGATTATTCACACTGCAGACACTCATATACACATGTGTTCAGCTTCCAACACAACACACATATCTCACGCTTATCAGGCGCATATGGACGTCAGGCATGAAGAGGCAGAACCCAACACTCCTGTTTGTACATATATAGCTTCCCATGCTTCAATTTGCTATTGCTTATCAGGGCTCAAAGACAATGATCATTTTGTATTGTGTTTACTTAATATTGTCAATATTCTCCTCCCTGTGAAGGCGCGTTCTGTTTTAAAACCACTTTATGATTTAATTGCCCTAATTACACCGTAACTGCTTTGACCTTTGCATCAGATGCTCCGAGAGCTGTGAGAAAGAAATCAGGACAGTGGAAAATGTAAATGTCTAAAATACATTGTAAGTCCCTTTGCATAAATATAAGAATAAAGTAGACAGAAAATAATAGACTTTCATTAATACAGAAACAGTTCATAGTGTTATATAAAGCCTGTACCAATAAAAAATGGTTTAGATGTTCAATATAAAATTATTAAAAATATTAAAATTAATAAAATACAATTATTATAATAATTACATTTTCTTAATTCATTTCCTTATATTGAATCATTTTCTGTTTATTCATTTGATCAACAGAAAAGTGGAGAGGGGAGTAAATGGGTTTGGGAAATGACAAACCAGATCTGAACCTGAATCATCAGTCAGTGAAGTAAATTTTTGATCTTATTTTTTCAAACAAATGCAGTGCCCCTCGGGGAGCAGAAGTCTAAATAAGGACCAAAAAACCTGTCCCTATAAATCCATATGGCTAAACCTGTCTCACCTATCTTCCTGATGATATGACTTCAGGCCAGTCGTATCGAGCAGATATTGTGCCAAATGTGTGGGTGACGTGAACGACAGCTCACATGAACATCGAGTAAATCAACAGCCTGGGAACAAATTCCAAATCTGAAAACAACACAAACACAGAAGAGAATAGAATATCTTTATCAGGGGTGTACAAAAAATAAAAACATTTATCTTAACGCATATTTAACTAACATAATACAAATATGTAAATAAGTATTGTAGCCAAAAACA